GGAGCTGTCCCGTGCAGTGGTAGCTGTGTCTGTGTCCCCTCGTGAAATAGTGTGCAGTGGAGGTCTCTTGTTGTGGTGCTAGATGTATGTTTAGAGCTAAACCAGCCCCCGCACCCTCCACCTGGCCCTCCTGCCCCTGGCATCTCTGACCCTGGCCCAGGGACCCCTCACAGGGTTGGGGGAGGCAGAGCAGAAGGACTGGCCCCTTCCTAGGGTTATGAGCTGGACCTGTTTCCACTTTCTGTCTTCCCGGGAAGCAACAGTATTTAGTACTCGTGGTGGTGGGTGGGAGGGTGGGCACAGGCCCGGGATATTACCTTGCTCTTCTCATCCATCTAGGCCCTCCCTCCCTCAGCCTCCGCCTCCCTCATCTGTTCCCTGATGTCATTCCCTGTGCTATCTTCCCTTGCCCAGGGCCTGTCTGTCTCCTTCCCATGTGGCTTTTCTTTGTCTTCCCCAAGGCTGAGTATCCCAGTTTTATCTGCTCCTGAGACTGAGCCCAGATCCCCAAATCTGATCTGATTTCCAGTTCAAGGAAGCTGGTGGGGGAGCTGGGCCTTACCCCAATGTAGGAGGAGCATATAGCTGGGGGGTGCAGAGCCCATGTGGGTACCTGACCCCCAGGGGATGGAAATGCAGGTGTCTCCTTGGGTCTGAGAGTTTGGCCTGCAGGGGCAAGTTCCTCTTTTCTCTCCCTGCCTTCTCCTCCTCCTCTCCCCAGAGCCCCCTTGAGCCCCTCTGCCTATGTCCCTCTGCCTCCTCTCCAAGCTGCTGTGGCTTGATGGCTTGATTCTCCTACCCTTACCACACCATGTGCCAGGTGGCATCTGCCTTACTGCCGTCCCTGAGGAGTTGGGTCATGCCGGCCAGTTGTCAGATGTAAATGCACAGCTAGAGCAGAGGGCATGTCGGTGATGATTGGTCCCTGGGGGAGGTCTGGCTGGCTCCAGCACACTGGGGCATCTAGGTATCTCTCAGTGACTATGGATTCCTGGGAATGGTAGCTGTTCTGTTTGAATCTGGTAGAAGGGACAGGGTTCTGTGGACTAGGCCCGGAGGGAAGGTCAGCGGAGAAGGCAGGCAGGGCCCAGTGAGGGGAGCATGCCTTCCCCCACTCTGGCTTGCTCTTGGTAACAGGGCAGTTCTGGGCACTTGAACTCAGGCTCCAGCAGAAGCACAGGCCCAGTCCTCGCTGCAAGCACAATGGCCTGAGTGGGATTTCCGGTTAGGCCAGGTGGGAGAGGAGGCTCTCTGGCTTTAGTTTAGTTTTGTTTTGTTTTCCAAATCAAGGTTACTTGCTCCCTCTGCCTACAGACCTCGGTTCTTGGCTTGTCCTCACCCAGTCGGAACTCCCTACCCCTTTCAGGAGAGTGGTTTTAGGCCCATGGGGCTGTTGTGTTCCAAGTGAGGTGAGAACATGGATGGTGGAGGCTCCAGCTGTGTGTGGGGCCTGAAGGGGAGCGGATTCTCACGCAAAGAGCATCTGCCCATTTCCCACCGCCCCTTCTCCCAACAGAAGCCTGCCTGGGCTGTTTGGACAAAAATCCAAACCCCACTTGGCTACTCTGGGCTGGCGGCAGCTTGGAACCCAACACCTAGGGCTTCCAGGCCAACCTGAGCCAGGGGCCTCTGGTAGTTCTCCTAATGGTCCTTTAAGCTTGGGCCACAACATATGATTGGCTCTCCCTCCTCTCTCGTACCTGAAGAGGGACCCTAGGTCTAGGCCCTTCTTCCCCCTCCCTTCCTTTCCCCTACCCTAGACCTGCGGCTCCCTCTCACTTCTCTCTCTGGTAGCTCCAGGAGGCTTGTGGTCCAGCTCCCTGCCTAGCACTCATGACCTGTTGGATGTTATCGTCAATCGATTTCCTGTCCTATCTGCCTCTTTGGCTCAGATCTTTATGGCCACACCCTGGCTCTACCCTTGGGAAAGATGGATCCCAGCATGTGGCCCAGCTTGTTCAGGCCCTGGGATGCTGCATCTCCAGGCAACTATGCACTTTCCCAGGGAGGGAACCAGTATGAGAAGTGGGGGCAGGGCACACATTCATCTCTGCAGGAAGGTCTGGCCTGGGGTGGGGTGGAGGAGGGCCCAGGTCAGTTCTGGGGTCCCAGTGACCTGCTTTGCCATTCTCCTGGTGCCACTGCTGCTCCCTATTTCTGGAGATGGACGTTCCCCAGCTGGCAGTTGAGCTGCCTGAGCCAATGTGTCTCTTTGGTAACTGAGTGAACCATAATAAAGGGTAACATTTGGCCCTGTGTGTTCTGCTGCGTCGTGTGTCTTCCTGTGGGTTTGCGTGGAGCCTCATGGCAGGGTGTGAGGCAGGGGCATGAAGGTGTGGAGGCTGTGTGGGTCTGTGGTCTGTCATTCCCCGGGACCTACAGCCATGTGACCCTGTGTGGCTCTTTCTCTGAGGCGGCCTTGAGTAGACAATGAAATTGCCACCGAGGCCCCCTGCCTTGGAAGGAGGAAGTGGAAGAAACAGGCTGGATCCCTGGGTGAGGGATGGTTTGGCCCAGATGGTCCACTGCGGCCAAGGGCAGGGGTAGAGCAGAGGCCCCACCTCAGCGCAGGGTAGGGACCCGCAGCTGGTTCAGCCACCTCAATGAACACAGGTTTCTGGGGCCTGTGAGGCTAGAAAATGAAGGAAACAGGGAAGCATGCCCAGTCTTCATTCTCTTGCCGTCTTCCCTTTGCCCATACAATGCCCTCCACCTGGATCACTATTGGGATCCTCTGTCTAAGCTACTGGCTGTCCTTCAAGATTCACCTCAAGCCACTCTCTTTTTTTTTTTTTTTTTTTGAGACTGAGTTTCACTTTTGTTGCCCAGGCTGGAGTGCAATGGCGCGATCTCTGCTCACCGCAACCTCCGCCTCCTGGGTTCAGGCAATTCTCCTGCCTCAGCCTCCTGAGTAGCTGGGATTACAGGCATGCACCACCATGCCCAGCTGATTTTTTGTATTTTCAGTAGAGACGGGGTTTCACCATGTTGACCAGGATGGTCTCGATCTCTTGACCTCGTGATCCACCCGCCTCGGCCTCCCAAAGTGCTGGGATTACAGGCGTGAGCCACCGCGCCCGGCTGCCACTCTTTCGAGAAGGCTTTCCTAGACCAGGTGTGGTAGCTCACGCCTGTAATCCCAGCACTTTGGGAGGCTGAGGAGGGTGGATCATGAGGTCAGGAGTTCAAGACCAGTCTGGCCAAGATATTGAAACCCCGTCTCTACAAAAAACTATAAAAATTAGCTGGGCCCGGTGGCAGGCACCTGTAATCCCAGCTACTCAGGAGGCTGAGGCAGGAGAATCACTTGAACGTGGGTGGCAGAGGTTGCAGTGAGCCGAGATCGCGCCATTGCAGACTCCAGCCTGGGCCACAGAGCAAGACTCCATCTGAAAAAAAAAAAGAAGGCTCTCCTGCCTGGAGGTGTTGCTTCCTCATGGAGGACCTTACCCTGTCATTTTCTGTGTCCCTGTTTCTCTCAAGAACAGGGACGCATCTGAGTTATCTCTGTATCCTGTGCACCTACAGAAGAGGTTTGGTAAATATTCGCTATTAAGTGCCCCAAGCCCTCTTTTACCGAGGACCAGTTAACATGGGCCCTATTCGCACTAACACCATGAAGATGGCCCTTTTCTATACTTCTATACATAAAAAAGTACCACATGCACCTGGACAGCAACTTACACATGAACAAGCATGTGTGCGAGGAGACCACCATTATTACCAGCAAAAAGCTCCCAGGGCCAGTCGCAGAGGCTCACACCTGTAATCTCAGCACTTTGGTGGGCTACGGCGGATGGATTGCTTGAGCCCAGGAGCTTGTCTCCACAAAAAATACAAACAATACAGTGGCTCACGCCTGTAATCCCAGCACTTTGGGAGGCCAGAGTGGGCAGATCATGAAGTCAGGAGTTTGAGACCAGCCTGACAACATGGTGAAACCCCAGCTCTACTAAAAGCACAAAAATTAGCTGGGCATGGTGACATGCACCTGTAATCCCAGCTACTCAGGAGACTGAAGCAGGAGAATCGCTTGAACCCAGGAGGTGGAGGTTGCAGTGAGCCGAGATGAAGCCACTGCACTCCAGCCTGGGAAACAGAGTGAGACTTCATCTCAAATAAACAAACAAAAAACCACTAACCTGGCATGATGGCACACACCTGTAGTCCCAGCTACCCGGTAGGCCGAGGTAGGAGGATGGCTTGAGCCCAAAAGGTGGAGGTTGCAGTGAGTGGAGATTGCGCCACTGCATTCCAGTCTGGGTGACAGAGCCAGACCCTGTCTCAAAAAGAAAAAAAAAAAAAAAAAAAAACACCTCCCCTACAAGATAGCAGACTACAATGTGTATGTGATGAAGCTGATTTGAAGGGCCCAGTGAGAGGTATCTCCAAGTTGCAGGAGTAGAAGAAAGAAAGGAGAGACAATTACATTCTTGAGGTCTCAGCCCTGGATCAGGAGATCACTGAAGTTTTTTTTGTTTTTTGTTTTTTTTTTAAGACGGGGTTTCACCATGTTAGTCAGGCTGGTCTTGAACTCCCGATCTCAGGTGATCAGCCTGCCTTGGCCTCCAAAGTGCTTGGATTACAGGCGTGAGCCACCACGCCCGGCCAATCATTGACGTATTAATAGATCCTGACATTAAGGAAATGCGGACGTTTTTGGACTTTGGCAGTCTGTCCAATCTGCAGATCGCTCAGCCAACAGTGGGGACGAATTTCAAAACGCCACGTGGAACTGTTTGAATCTTTTTGAGATACTGTAATATTATCAATAAACCTGAGACAACAGCAAAAAAAAAAAAAAAAAAAAAAAAAAGGCCCAAGCAACGAGCAGCAGCGTGTGTGGGGCTGATAAGAATGAGGAGGTCGGACAGTTAGGCCTGTCCCTGTGGAGTTCCAGCAATACAAAGAAGAAGGAGCCAGGGTCTGCGCCAGGAGTTCCCCAGTGGACTACAACTCCCGGGAGGCAGAGAAGTGGACTACAAATCCCAGAAGGCTGCGCGACACGCAGCCCGCCCCGTGCTCTCGTGAGGCGTGCCAGTTAGAGTCCCCTGGAGGGACCGCCGAGATACCGCGATATTTGGGAGCGACCCCGAGACGTGCTTGGCGCGGGTGAGCAGACGAAGGGGGCTGGGAAGCCGGGTGTTCGCGGCGGCGCGGGAGGGGAGGCTCGGGGAGCTCTGCTTCCGACCATGGGGCCCCTGCTGTCTGTGTGTGTGTCCTCACTTTCCCCTCTGTGCCCGTAAAGCTCTGCTTGGCGGCTGTGCATCTGTGCCACCTCACTTTCCCAGCTGTACGGGCGGGGCCGCCTGGAGCAGGGGGGACCCCCGAGCCCGGGAGTGGAGGGTTTGCATCTGTTCCCGCCCAGCCCGACTTTCTACTGCCTTGCGATTGTTTGTCCAGTGTCGTTTAATCTAGTTTAAATGATGGCCGTGTCAGCTCCTTACACTTAGCGCTTACCCGGGCTGCCCAGAGTACACAGTGTATTTAAAAAGTTGATGAAATAGAAAAAGGAAAGCCATGGGATGTTGGAAGTATCCCTAGGCCTGCCAGAAAGTGCTGGGTGGCATTGAAAAATTAGGCCAAATTTTGTCAGAAAAGAACTTCCTGCTGTCTTTGACGTATTTAGAAGCAGGTGCTAGATGGTGAGCAGGAGAGGTTCCCAAGTTGAATGGTGGGTGTCTTGGAGCAGGGTTTCCACATCTCTCACAGTGGCTGGGAAGTAGCGGTACGCAGTCACTGCCTCCAGTAGCTCACGTGTGTGAGTGTGTGCGTTAGGTACATTCATTCCTCAGTATCCGCAGGGGATTGCAATATATGTATTGCAAAATATATATATATATATATTTGTTTGTTTTGTTTTGTTTTTTGAAACAGGCTCTCATTCTGTGACCCAGGCTGGAGTGCAATGGCAGGAACATGGCTCACTGCAGCCTTGAACTCCTGGGCTCAGCAGATTCTCCCGCCTCCCGTGTAGCTGGAACCACACCTGGCTAATTTTATTTTTGTAGAGACAGGGTCTCATCATGTTGTCCAGGCTGATCCCGAACTCCTGGGCTCAAGCAATTCTCCTTCCTCGGCCTCCCAAAGTGCTGGGATTACTGGTGTGAGCCACCACATCAGCCCTCTGTATACTCTTTTTGAGTCAGGGTCTCACTCTGTCGCTCAGGCTGGAGTGTAGTGGTGCGATCACAGCTCACTGCAACTTAGAACTCCCTGGGCCCAGATGATCCTCCCACCTCAGCCTCCCAGGTAGCTGGGACTGCAGGCACGTGCACCACGCCCCTCTGCATACTTTAAATCATCTCTAGATTACTTATAAATCCTGATTCAGTGTAAATGCTATGTAAATAGTTACACACTTTTTTATTGTAATACTATTATTATTTTTTGAGACGGTCTCTCTGTCATCCGGGCTGGAGTGCAGTGGCACAAACGTGGCTCACAGCAGCCTTCTAGGCTCAAGTGATCCTCGTGCCTCAGCCTCCCAAGTAGTTGAGACCACAGGCGTGTGCCACCACACTTGGCCACTTTTTGAATTTTTTTGTAGAGCTGAGGTCTTGCTATGTTGCCCAGTCTTGTCTTGAGTGCCTGGGCTCAAGCAGACTTCCCACCTTGGCCTCCTAAATTGCTGGGATTACAGGTGTAAGCTGGAGCAGAAGCGGGGCGGCCAGTAGTGAGGGGCTTTGATGTTAGGCTAAAGGATTCAGGCTCATAATGGATCTTGGATCGCTGCCTACCCACCACCCACTTCCCTTCTTTGGTTCTGTTTTGTCTTAGGCCCAGTTCTCATCCTTCCTGTATTGAGCTTGAGCTTATATCCTGTCTGGCCTTGCTTGCCTTCCTCCTGTCTTTAGCCCTGGTTCTGCCCCAGCTCCACCTTTGCCCATATAGGGACTTGCAGGTATCCCTGAAACCTAAAACTCTGCCCTGAATTAAACTCATCAGAGGAAACTTAAACATCACAAGCCAAGGCTCTTTGCTTTGTCTGTCCCTGTCTAAAGGACAGAGAAGCTGCCATGTTTCTGGCTGTGGCTTACCTGCATGGCTGGTGCCCTGGGATCTTGAGGCTCCATAATCACAGCCTGTAGCCCTATAACCTGCCTGCTTGCCACCTCTTTGCTGATCAGGAGTCCTGTGAGGCACTGTCTGCAGCTACCCTTGCTTTGCAAATAGGTGACTCCAACAGGATCTGGTTACAGTAATAGACTTACTGGTTTAGAATTGGATCCTCTTTGCAAGCAAACAAAGGAATCCTGCCAGCTGTCAGTCTTCCTGGGATTCTCAGGTTGAACTGATTTGACCTCGCCTTCACATGTTGGTTAAACGATCCACTCTGTATTCCTCAAGTATATTACACACGCACATGCACACACACACCCTCTTTTTTAGGAAGATAGGTAGGCTTGGTCCTTAGTACAGCTTTGCTAAGCAGGCGAAGTATTGTATTTTGGACTATAGTGCCTGCTGTGGGGAAGCAGCTGAAATCACTAATACAGATTCCTGCCCCCAAGTTTAACTGATTGCTTTCTGTAACCTGTTTCCTAGGAATGAGATCAGCTTGATGTGGAAGAGGTTCAGTGGCCACAGAGATAAAATGTGGCTTCTGGTTTTGCGGGAATCTACCTATCCTGGCTCCTGTTGGCTTGGGTGGGACAGGGTCAGGGTTTGAGATCTGGCAGGTAGGTTTCCCTGGAGAACAAAGAATGTGCCTCCATCACCTACCAGTGATGTGTTCTGGGAGGAAGCTGGCTGGTAGGCCCTCTGTACCTTGTCAGATGCTAACAGGCTCCCCACTCCCTACGGTAAACTCAGTTCTCCAACTCTGGCCAAGCATTGCCCTGGTTGGGGCCTTGCAGTGGAGCAGAGATTGAGATTACTGGCAAATCAAACTTTGGGTGATTTTGCTCTAGGGAGCCAGCCTGTGTTTAATCCCTGCTGAGAAGTGGGATAACAGAGACAAACATGATCCTCAGCCCACGTGGGTTGTGCCCAAGTGTTGAAGGCAAATCCTGGGCAGAGAGGCTGGAGAGCCAAGGAGCCTGTGAGTGAAGAGGACGCAGGCCCCTGTAGATGCTCAGGCATGGAGGTAGCCATTGGGCGACTCAGCAGCACTGCTTCCTGGGCAGTGCCTGGCTTTCCCTTGCCCTGCTGATTCTTTCTTGAGTGCATTTTCTAGGACCTTCTATCTTGTACGGAGAGCCCCTTACTGCTGTCTTTCATGTATTGATTCAGAAAGTTTTTGCTGGAAGGTGCTTCAGAGATCATCTGGTCTTGCCTCTGCATTTTTCAGCTGAAGGGACAGGTCCAGGGAGGGAATGACGCTGGACCAACGTCACTTCAGGTCAGGAGCACACCATGGTCGGGGCCCAGGACTTATGATTCACAGGCTGGGTATCTGTCCTCTGCCCCACACTGCCTTGGAGGGTATAATTATTTTTTATTATTATTTTGTGTGTGTGTGTGTCTGCATTCCTGCTACAGCAGCAGAGTATTTGCAGGGAAGTGGGGTATGATTATTAATTCAGCAGATGTTCAGGACTGCTAGTGGACTGGTGGTTGGCAGTTAGACCTGGTCACGAATTCAGGGAGCTTGCTGTTGGAGGGAGAGGCCAGAAAACGTGTAAATTGAGTCTGATCACCAAAAAGGTGCATCCCCGGGAAGGACTGATCTTAAATAATTTCAGGTGTGATTCCTGTCATCTCAGACTCACCTACAGATCCCCCAGAGGCAGCTACTGTGTTTTTCACAATTCCTTTGCGTGGTGTTCAGTGTAATCGTTCCCAGTGATGGTTGCTGATGAAGCACTTTCTGCTGGCCCAACCTGCCGCGTGTAGGTTTTGGTGTCCATCAGCCGTGTTATCATGAGCACCCACTTCTAGCAACGTCTGAGAGCCAGAGGAAGAAATAAACCTGCTGGTCTCCTGGGTGGCTGCATCCCCTTTATGCTCGTTTCTTCCTGGGCTTTGATTTGTACGGTGGCACCCATCTTGATTAACGGACAGGGACAGAGAGGCAAATCTCTCGGCTCCCTGGAGCACCGAAACCTCTTGTTGCCCAGGCTTCCACCTGACAAGCATCTGTGGAACCCATCCCCTCCTGGCACCTCCTTTTACCGCAGCAGCTCCTCTTGCCCTCCTGTCCCTCCACCAGCAGGGTCCCTTTGACACTGTCACCAAGTGCCAGCACCATCTTTCTAAAACCGAAACTCCTCACCCTGGCCCTTGCTGCCCACCGCATTCTGGCCTCACCCTGATTTCCAGCCTCCCCTCCTGCCCCTCCACCACCCCACATCACACTCCAGTCTCACTACGAAGCCACTCCCTGCTCCCCAACCTGCCACCCTCCTTCAGGACCTTCACCTTTGCAAGATTGTGTCTTCTTTTGATTTATTCCCATCTCTGGAAAACTCGTCCCTCAGGACTCGACCCAAACATCCTCTTTTCTGGGATGCAGGCCCTGACTTCCAGAAACAGCCACCCTGAGCAGCCATGGCACCTGGCACAGCCCTTCCCATGGCACTGCCACATCCCCTTGTGACTGGCCCGTGTGTGGGGAAGGCCCCTCACTTCCTTATCAAACTGTGTCCTCTCAGAAGCCGGGACTGCCGATCCCTTCTGCTGCCTGGGCACCGGGCCTGGGGCCTAACATATGATATGGCGCTCAGTACATTCTGGTAGACTGTGTGAATGAAGGGGGTGGCCCTTGTTCTGCTTTTAGGTCCTAAATCCCGGCAGCTGTATGGAGCCCGGTCCTGGCAGGCTCCCAGAACTTGAAGCCACCAGACCCCACATGGAACCAAAGGCCTCCTGTCCAGCTGCTGCACGCTTGGTGGAGAGAAAATTCCATGTTCTTGTGGGTGTCACGGGAAGTGTTGCAGCCCTCAAGTTGCCTCTTCTGGTGTCAAAGCTTTTGGACATTCCTGGGGTGAGTATCCTCACCAGACAAGCGTGGCAGCCTCCGGCATGGGAGATGATGCTCCCAAGGGCGGCCCATTGCTCTGCAGTGCGTGGATTTTCTTTTTCTTTATCATGTTAATTATGCTTGTGGAGGTCCTGTGTGTGTGGTGGATTCAGGAGACAGAGGCCAGTGCCCAGTATAACCAAGGACTAGATGAGGTAGTCCAGACAGAGCATGAGGGGAGCCTGGGAAAGGACCCGGTGAAGGAGCCCAATGCATGAAGGGCTCCCATGCATTGATCCTGAGAATCTGCCAGGTCCTGTGTGGAAGGAGGGCTGGCTGGGGAAGTGTAGCAAGTTCTCAGTCCCCGCTCCTGCCCTGGACTTCCCGCCCCCACTTTCATTCTGTCTTGAATACTGCCACTCTGTTCTCCCTCCTCATGAGACCCCGTGGTTGTCCTGTCAGTCAAATGCTTTGAAACCCCATTGCCTTGCCTCAGAAAAAAAAAAGAAAAAAAAATTTTTTTAAAAAAGAAAATGGGAGTCCTCCTCTGAAAAAAAAAAAAAAAAAAAAAAAAAAAGAAAAGAAACCCCATTGCCTGAGGCTCTAGGTTCAAACTTTGCTCCTTCAGGGATTCAGAGATGCCCCCAGGGGCCCCCGACTGTGTGCTGGGGTCAGGGACTCTAGCCCCCGTCCTTGGCCAGACCCTCAGCTTGGATCTGTTTTCTATATTGGGGTTCTGGCACAGAAGTCCATGGCTTTAAACAGCGTGAAATCTGACAGGCAGTGGCCCCACTTCCTAGTTGGGTCTCCAGAGCCCTTTGTTGGTCTGTCTTTTTTTTTTTTTTTTTTTTTAAAGATGGGGTTTCGCCGTGTTGGCCAGCCTGGTCTTGAACTCCTGACCCCAGGTGATCCATCCACCTCGGCCTCCCAAAGTGCTAGGAGGTGTGAGCCACCACGCCCAGCCTGTTGGTCTGTCTTATCCCCTTTGGTCTTTGCGTGGCTGGTCCCTCCTCGGCTGGCTGCCCTCTCTGCTCCTTTCCTGCCTTTTTACCTTCTGTGCAAAGCCTTCCCTGTCTGCCCCAGCCCAACCCCTGTGGTTTTGGCCCCTTCTTTTAAACTCATTTGACATAGAACCATAGGTTGCCTTAGACACTGCTGGTGTTACTGGCCCCAGTGTTAGTGGGGTGTTATGAAGTTGCTGGACCCCCAGCCTGGCTTTTCCCTCTCTGGTATTGGCTGAGCACGCACGGTGGAGGTGGCCCAGGCAGCCTTATCTGGCATGTCCAGCAGGGGGCGGTGCTTACTCACAGATGACCATGTGGTCCCTCCAGCTGGGGCTGGGCTGGGAAATGTTTCACTTTTTTACTTTACCAACTTCCACTCAGAAAGTCAGCCTGTCACCCCACCCCCAGGGCTGGGGTAAGCCATGAAGCTGCCAGCCATGGATGACAGCCAGGCCCCAGCGGGGGAGGAGGGAGAGTCTCGTGGCACACGGAGACTGGGTGATGTGCTTTTAGGGCAGTGCTGCTTAGGCCCAGCCACCCACTGTGTACCCAGAACCATTGGTAGGAGCTGGCCAGCTAGAACCTTGAGGGTGGGAGGCCTGGAAGGGTTTGCAGCAGCGAAAGCCTCTGCCACCACCCCCTGGGGAGGAAGGGAGCCAGGCAATTCCCTTTTCCCATAGCCCCAGAGCAAGTGAGTTTCCGGATTGGGGGTGGATAGGGGCGGGGAGTCCTATCCCAGGAAACAGATGGGCAGCCTCAGAGCGGAGGGAAATGGCAACCCCACCGCTTCCTCTCATCCCACGCAACCAGCGTTGGTGGGGGTAGTGAGGAAAGGGTTGCTTGGAGCAGGGAGGCACTCCACCCATCCCAGGGCCTTTTAGCCTGGGCCCCATGGGAGGGCAGGCCATGTCTGGAGCAGGACTTGGCGTCCCCTCCCTGGCTGGAGTTGATGCCGCCGAAAGTGAGGCAGCAGAGGGCACTGAACTGGGAGGGAGAGAGGGCTCCCCGACTCAGCCTCTTGGAGCCTGCTTTTCCCATTTGAAAATGGGTGATTCCTGCTGCCCATCGCCCAGGCTCTTGTCAGGGTCCCTGAGATGTTGGCCGTGTTGGAGGGGACACAGATGAAACAGTCTTGTGCCAGCGACTCAGCGCAGAGCCTGGCATGCTGTGTGTGTTTCCTGGCCATCACCCTGTCACTTCCCCTTGTTCCTGTCCTTTGGGACAGCCACATGGCATGGGGCAGCCCCACTGGGAAGAGCCATGGAAGCCACAGTCCACCTGCTCTTGTGAAGGGCCCCATGCCTTTCATCTGCAGGTAGATGGCTCACCAAGCCTGGCCTTGCTTATCGGGGCCCTCGGAAGGTGCTGGGATCCAAAAGTCATCCCTGGATTGCCTTGTGTGGGCCCCAGTGGTGGCGTCGACCCCTGAGCACTCTCCTTCACTCCCCGACGGCCCTCATCTTCACATTGCCTCCTGCTGGAACTCCTGCCGGAGCGTCTTTGTCCCTTGGAGCAGTCACTTTCAGCCCTTCGCCTGCTGAGTCGTGGGTTCACGTGTTCAAGGCTTTCCCAAACTTCCTTAGGTACATCCAGATTTTGTCTAGCACACAAACAGCTGGGGTGTGGGCTGTAGGGAGCCAGAGGATTCTACAGATCTGGCCCATTACTGCTTCTGGTGGACCAGTATGTCCAGACCTCCAGGGAAAGCTGCTAACCTCAAGGTAGCCAAATCAGGGAGACTGAGAGGGGTGGTGGAGGGACGTAGATTTGCCACAAGCCTCACACACCAGCAGTGGGGGAGAGTGGTCACCAGCCAAGACGACCTTGAGTATGTTGGGGCAGGTAGACAACCACGTCTCAAGAGAGGCAGCTGAGCACGTTTCTGATGCTGGGACCCTGGGTAAGTCAGTTCTTTTTGGCCTTAGTTTTTTATCCACACAATGAAGGAGGGGCAGGTTCTCAAGTAATCCATCTCCAGGGCCTCTTCTGGCACTGGTGTTAGAAGATTCTAGATGTATGGGCAAAAAGGACTAGGACCCAAAGGCAGCCTGAGAGAAGGTCCTGGGGCCCAGGAGCTTCAGGGGCCAGGGGGTTTTGCAATTCCATAGTTGTCATGTAATTGAGTGGCAGTGAAATCTGGGTTGTCAGCTCAGGCAGTTTCTTCCCTGGGGTTGGCAGCCTGGTCCATGCAGGGGAGTGAAAATGCTTTCCTCCACCTTGCCAGGTTGCTTGGCTGGGCTATAAGTTCAATGGACTTACAAACAAGATTAACAGGGCCAGGCACAGTGGCTCATGCCTATAATCCTAGCACTTTGGGAGGCTGAGGCGGGCAGATCACTTGAGGCCAGTTTGAGACCACCCTAAGCCAACATGGTGAAATCCCAACTCTACTGAAAACACAAAAATTTCCCGGGTGTGGCAGGTGCCTGTAGTCCCAGCCACTCGGGAGGCTGAGGCAGAAGAATCTCTTCAACCCGGGAGGCAGAGGTTGTAGTGAGCTGAGATCGCATCATTGCACATCCAGTCTGGGTGACAGAGTGAGACTCCATCTCAAAACAACAACAACAAAAAGATCAACAGGAGAAAACCACATTTAATGACATACCTGCCCATGGGTGTACCACAAAATATGAGATTCCCAGAAGGGTGAGGTGACTGACGTGTATAGCAGCCTGAGCTACAGGAGGGAATAGTGGCCTCGGGCTTCTGAGGGTGATGGCAACACAGGTTATGGAAGCATGAGGGGAGGAACTGTATGGGGAATAAAGGTGGTCTTGTCAGGCAGATGGTGGTCTTCTCAGATAATAAAAGATGTCTCAGCAGATTGTCAACAAGTCAGTCTTCCCTTCCCAGGGAGGGGGATTCAGGACAAGGGAGAATCCCCCCTTGGGCAGCTAAGGGAAGTTCAGAGAAAGTTCCTCCCTGCGTTTGTTTTTCCCCCAAGTGCCTTCAGGTTGGAAATAATCAGCATACCAAAGCTGCATATTATGGGGTGGCATTTCCTGACCGCCTTCCTCCACACCCTTCAGACTTGGGAGAAGACAGGCTTCCCCCTAGCTTTTGTCAGGGCAGGTGTCAGCAGAATTCAGAGCCAAAAGGGCTTTTCTAAAGACAGAGAAAACCCCCACTCAAGGAGTAGGCTGGGCTCGGGCTCAGAGAAGGATACATTTCTAGGGTGTCCATCAGGACATCCAGGTCTGTTGAGGGTGAGGAAAAGAAGGCTCTGCTCATACACAGTGCGGATGATATCCCGACTTTCTGGAGGATCACTTGACAATATTGAAAGAAATGAAACCTATTCATAGGCCTTGATTCACCCACAGGATTAAACTGCTTGTTGTGTACTTACAAAGTGCAAGGATGTTCCTTATAGCATTGTTTATAATTTCAGTGCAAAACCAAGCAAACAAAATGTCCAGGCCGGGCGCGGTGGCTCACGCCTGTAATCCCAGCACTTTGGGAGGCCGAGGCGGGTGGATCATGAGGTCAAGAGATCGAGACCATCCTGGTCAACATGGTGAAACCCCGTCTCTACTAAAAATACAAAAATTAGCTGGGCATGGTGGCGTGTGCCTGTAATCCCAGCTACTCAGGAGGCTGAGGCAGGAGAATTGCCTGAACCCAGGAGGCGGAGGTTGCGGTGAGCCGAGATTGCGCCATTGCACTCCAGCCTGGGTAACAAGAGCGAAACTCCGTCTCAAAAACAAACAAACAAACAAACAAAAAAACCAAAATGTCCAGCAGTAGAGAGCTGTGGTGCCCTTATTACTTGTGGAACAGTCTCTCAGGGGATTCCTTGGCAATGGTTCAGAAAAATGGGGTGGCTCTTTCTCTGCTGATGGGAGCAACCCTGGAGATAGAAGCAGAATAAGCAAGGTGTAGGAGCTAGTGAACTGGGCCCCCCAGGCCAAATCTGGCCCACTGCCTGTTTTTGTATAGCCTACAGCTAAGAATGCTTTTTACATTTTAATTTTTATTTAGTTTTTCATTTTTGAGACAGGGTCTTGTTCTGTTGCTCAGGCTGGAGTTCAGTGGTGGGATCACTGCTCACTGCAGCCTCGACCTCCCAGGCTCAAGCAGTCCTCCCAGCTCAGCCTCCCAAATAGCTGAGACTGCATGCATGCCATCACACTCTGCTAATTTTTTTCTTTTATTTTTTTTTTTTTTTGTAGAGGCAGGGCTTCGCTGTGTTGTCCAGGCTGGTCTCAAACTCCTGGGCTCAAGTGATCCATCTGCCTCTACCTCCCAAAGTGCTGGGATTACAAGCGTGAGCCACTATGCCCAGCCCGATTTTTACATTTTTAATTGGTTAAAATAAGTCAAAAGAAAATTAGTATTTTGTGACTCATAAGAAAAGTGATATGAAATTCAGATTTCAGGTCCACAACCATTTACTGGAGAACAACAGTACCCATTCATTTACGTGTTGCCTATGGCTGCGTTCCTGCTACTGGAGTGAAAGAGTTACAACAAAGCCTGAAACATCACCTGGCCCTTTCTAGAGAAGGTTTGCTGACCCCTGGTGTGCAGCCTGATTCCCTCAGTATGTTCACATCTTAAGTTACTGTGTGCGTTTCTTCCTCTGGAGGTGGTTACTTTTGTGGAGGGGGACCAGAGGAGGAAGGGAAACGCGTTTTTCATTTTGTATCATTCTGTTCAGTTTTAATTTTCTAACCTATGTGTATGTGTGTGCTTTTGTTAAGTCAGTGGGGCTTTTGGTGGAAATATTTTGGAACATTCTTGGTAACTTTGTGCTTTTTTTTTTTTTTTTAAAGTGTTCACTGAGGAAAGAGCAGGAGACATAAGGCCTGGTTTGAGGATTTCCTTTTTTTTCTGGGTGGGGGCCACCTGCCCACTCTGTGGTCCTGCTGTGGAATCCCGGAGACCTTTATTTGTGCCTCCACCTGCTTGGCTGGCCCCTTCCTCCTCCGGCCTGCAGCTCTGTCGCCTGCTTCTCTAGGGACAGAACCCTGTTGGCTGCTGGTCAGAGGGTCCAGCACCCCAGGGTCCTTCCCTGATTGCCCAGAACCACGTCCCTATGCAGAGCATCCGTAGACCACCTCTCTGGTTTCCTTCTTGAGAATTTCCTGGAGTTGGGGAAGCACACAGAGGATTGGCACGAGGAGCTGACACAAACAGAACACCAGCTTCCCCAGGGGCAGATGAGAGAGCGGCTATTTCCTGCCGAGCCCAGCGGGAAAGAGTCAGGGTCACAGAAGGGCTAGGGTGGCACAGTGAGCTGGCTGGACCCCTAGAAACCATGTGGTCCACATGGCTCATGCATGGGTCATAAGGGAAAGCCAGGGACAGGAAGAGGGGCTCACCCACAGCCTGCCAGCGAGGGAGCGAGTTAGCAGAACTGGGGCTTGAGGCCAGGTTTCTTGGGTCCTATCAGCAAGTGAACTTGAGGAGCTCAGACCTGGAGCTCATTCTCTGCCCAAGCTCACCAATGCTTGAGGATGGTGGAATTTGGGGATTCCTATCTTGATCTGTCTTGCAGTCAGGCTACCGGTACCCCACCTATCTGTTAGACTGAGCCCTAGCAGAGGGTGGAGCTTGGATCTTAGCAGCCCTGCCCCTGCCATATAAGAGGCTCAGTAAATGTTTGCTGAGTTGAAGCATCATCATGAGCCCTGGAACCCACTGAGCCAACCAGAACTCCCTCGGGGGTTTTGTTCACGAGGCCACCTCCTCCACAGCTCCCCCGCCTCACGTGTCAACCGCACTGGGCCCCGAGAATCCTTTTTCCTAGGATGTACCGGCCACTCCCATGCTCAGGTTAGTGTTAGCTTCTTGGCTGGCCACTAGGTCCTGGGCACAGATCTGGAGCATGCCAGCGTCAACACTGGCGGGCCCAGTGTCAGGGTCCTCTGCTGTACGTCCTGGCCCAGAGGCCTGGACCACCAAAGCCCTGGGTTCCTTGCTTTGTCACAGTTTAAGTGCATGCCTGCCCCTTTTTCTTGAGAATCCCCCTTGGTCTCCAGTGGAGCCATCATCACGCCCTACCAGAAACACCTGCTCTCCAGCCGCTCAGCTGCTGGCTCCAGCTGGGCTCTTCTCCTTTCCTTGTATATGCCAGAGCTGTGCTATCCGATAAATTAAATCTGAATGCGGCAGCCACTTGCCACATTCAAATTTAAATTTAAATCAATTAGAATGTAATAAAAAATGCAGTTCTTCAGTCACAGCAGCCACACCTCAGGTGCTCTGTGGCCACATGCTCTGCAGCACAGGAAGGGCGGTTCCCATCATTGCAGAGATGGAAATGCTCTTCATGGATAATGCTGTAGAGCTGTGGTTGTCAACATGGGCAAT